AAATTTTGGGACGTCATGTGAAATAAAACAACATTGATAGAAACTCAAGGATCTTATCCGAATTCAGAAAGGCCTAGAGCGCAGAAAAATAATAAGCAATCATAGTTGATTCTCTATCACATTTCTTCACAACGAAACGGGAAAGAAGTAAGTAACAATCTTGAATCGGAACTTTGGCATTTTTTTTATCAAGATTAAGTTTGTTTCCACATGTCAATACACCATCCCAATTTTGTTTCTTTCACTGCAAAATATTTCGATTCAAAATGAGTGGCGCCAATGCCACATTTGCCTACTTCAAAAATAATTAGGCTCCAGTGCTTTCCATAAGTATCATCAAGCCAGCTTCTAACATTGTCAGCAATTTTAAACATTTCCGATGATCCATATAGATCAATTGTAGTACTTATTGTGCTCAATATATTTGTTTTCATCACATCAGTGATTCCACTATATTGATGTTGAACTTCCCATCTTGCCATAGTTGTTGATTTCGAAGAAGATATATCTACAATGAGAAATCTGTTTTGTCAAATAAAGCATTATAGACATGAAAAGGTTAAACTAATCTGTTCAGCTGCTCAGCAACAGAACTCGGTGAGGGTGTGGATATGAGTGGGTATTGTGTAGTTGAAGATGATACCCACACCCACCCACACAAACACCCATACCTCACTCCCACACCCACATCGCATATCCACACCCCATACCCACAACTACACCCATAACCTATTTTCGACTGTTCTTACTGTTTGATTCTGCATCATTGGAAAGTTTTTCTACATTCTAGGACTTTCTGAATTCGGATAAGATTCGTAAAATTCTGCCAATGTTATGTTATTGTAGACAAATTACAAAAAATCATTTACAGTAATCAGAATCTTGGCATTACTTATCAAGATGAAGCTTGTTTCCAGATCGCAATACACCATCCCAAATTCGTTTCTTTCACTCAAAAAAATTTCGATTCAAACCGAGTAAAATAACTTGAACCTTTGCCTACTTCGTAAATCACTAAGCTCCAGTAATTTCCACAAGTTTCATCGAGTCAGCTTTTAACATTCTCAGCAATTTTATACATTTCTGATGATCCATATAGATCAATTGTAGTACTTATTGTGCTCAATATATTCGTTTTCATAACATTCGTAATTCCACTATCTTGATTTAGAACTTCCCATTTCGGCATAATTATTGGTTTTGACAAAGATATATCTACAATGAGAAATCTCTTTGATCCAACAAGATATAGACATGAAAGAGATTGAGCTAGTCCGTTCAGCTACTCAGGAACAGAACTGGTTATAGCACAGAAGACATATCAAAATGAAGACGCTCTATGCTGACTTCAAGCAAATAAATATCATCATGAATATATTTTTGGACA